TTTTTTTTTTTTTTTTTTTTTTTTTTTTTTTGATCTACAAATCAAAATACAAATGCAGACGTACCAATTGAGAAGCAAAAGTGTAGACAAATATTTGCTGCTGCAGAATAATATAAGAAATTAGTGAATATGTCATTTGGAAAAAAAAAAAGTTAGTTTTTTTTTTTTCTCACAGCATTTAATAGTTTTCGACATGCCAAAGTTATATATTATTCTACTAATCTTGGTGTACTCTGTTAACGGTCAGTTTCAATTATATACTTATGTAAACTGATAACGTAACAAAAAAAAAGAAATGAAGATAAAACTTAGCTGAAAAAAACTTTTTCAAAATTTAGCTGATTACCTTCTAATAAGTTTCATCATTTTGCCTGTTTACAACCGTATTTGGTTTAAAAAGCAAAAAAAAAAAACTAATACATATACAATAAAAATAAAGATGTTTTTAATAAAGTTAATAAAAAAAAAATTTTTTTTTTTCTAGCAATAAATTATATGTAAATTGCAGCTCAATATGTAACATGTAGATTGTATAGTTGTTATACGCCATCCTTCAATGACTGTTTCTGCAACTATGGTTATCGATGTAACTGTGGTAGCAGCTATAGTTTTGGTTCTGGTTTTAGTGGTACAAATTTGTTGAACAATTATTTCTTGGCTGCATTTGGTTTGGGTTATAATGGTTTAAATTTGGGATACAATTATGCAAGTGGAGTTGCATCTAACGCTATACCGGTTATCTCCGGAACAACAACAACTGCAGTTACCGGAACTGGAATTGGAACTATCAGTGGCAATACTGCTACCTATAGTGGACAGACACTTGTTAATCACTGTCAGTAAAGTTTTGTCTTTCTTTTTTTTTTTGTTACTTAAACTATTGCTCATTTTGTAAATTTAAGTTTAAAAAAGCTGAAAAAAAAAGGAAAATAAAACTTAATTTATCCTATTTAATTTTTTAAAACGAAAAGAAGAATAATATATTTTTTTCACATATTGTAAATTTTGTTTTCTTGATATTATTAAATTATATCAATAGATTGACAAAAATACTACAGAACAGTTCGTGCTCAGTTTTATATCTTTGTTTTTTATCTCTTTCTGTTGGGCACTGATTTTCACTTATTTTATTGAAAATTCAGATGGTGCAGCGACAGGAAACGGATACTGTCCTATGGGTGTAAACATTAATGGCCAATGTTGGGGATAGTATTGTTGAATAGCAGTTTTCAGACAACTACTGCTCGAATCAAAAACAATGCACAGAAATGACAGTGTTACACTATTTTTTTTCTTGTTAATGATATACAAATAGAAAATACTTTTTTTTTTTT